GCGATTTTTGCTGTCGTACGAGCTCGCAGGCGATTTTTTTTCTCTCGGGAGAAAATCGCAGATGCTCGCATGGTCGCGGCTCGTACCGTGTGAGAAAAATTACGGGCCGATCCGAGACGTTACGAGCACCTCCCGTCCTCCCGATAATTTTCAAACAATGTCAAAAAAAATCGGATGCTGTCTGTTTAAATTCGTGGCGTATGTGCGGTTGAACGAGACGATTTAGCGATCCATCTGAAGTTGACCAATCAATCAGAAGATGACAAAAACCATATAGTCTATACTCATTTTAGTTTAATTATACAGTTCTATTTTTTATTTGTTATTCCAAATGTGCCAAATTTGCCGTTCAGCTTTATGAATATGCCTGTTGTAATTCCGGCAAAACGAGCAGAAATTCAGAAATGGCCTACTCCCTCGAGTTCTTTATGAAGAACAGAAAGTCCATGCTTTTCTCTGCTTTTCAGCCATTCTCTTTGCCATGTCCTGTCTTCGTTTTTTTTTTTAACACACACTAAAGGCGGGCGTACACGGTGCGATTCTGAAGGTCGGAACGCCGTGAGCTCTGGCACATGTCACGATTGAGTTTATCCGAAAATCGTACGGAGGCAGTCACACACGACACGAATTTACTACGATTTTACCAACTTTTACCAAAAGTTTCACGTCATTCATAAAAATATGGATTCTGAGGACGAAATAGTTTTCTCTGTGGCAGGCGGCTTGTGACGTCCAAAAAGAAAAAAAAGAAAAAAACGTAAAAATTGTATTTTACCCCCCAAACGCGATTTTTACTGGGGGACACCCTCGAAAGCAATTGGGCTATTTTCAGGCTAGTTTTGAATAGATATTGGGCGGGTTTTGTAGCGAAAACCTGGCAACTCTACACCAGACAGCGTTATCGGTGATTCTCCCCATAGACATATTAAATTAAAAGAAGAAGAAGTATAAGTAGGAGCGAGGGCCCATTGGCTGAGATTGTCTTCCGGATCTGACGAAGGTCGTTCTGGCGGGTTCGAGGAGCGCGCTCTATCAGTTATTTCACAACAACAGTCTGCAGAAGAAGCAGCTGAGGGGTCGGTCAACAGAATAGCACTTTATCCACAAATACGCCTAATAAATTTATTTTTAAATAATTTTTTTTCTGTGCTCTTTAGCAGAGACATCAATCATGCATGTGATCAAGAGAGGTAAAGTCCCACTCGTCCTACTTGTATATTTGCAACATACTGAGCAAACGTACAATTTGTGTGCTAATATAAATAAGGGAATACTTAACGTTACCCTTATTTACGTTAGCATACAAATTGTACGTTTATGTTATTCTCATAACCAAAATGATGTCCAATCTGTAAATCAAACATGTTACGTATGGACCTTAATCGTGTAACGTTAGCCGCGTTTAAACATAAAGAGAAGAACGAAAATGCGTTCGTATGAAGTCTTGATTAGGGTCGCAGATTTATTGATTGTGTGCAATTATATAATTTTTTCCAACTACATAACTTTATCCTTGAAAACGATATTCATGTTAACAGCACCTGAAGACTAGTGGTGTTCTTTGTTAACTCAAAGTTGGCGCCAACTGCTTCTTTGACTGGGTCATCCAGTAATGAAACATGAATGAATGGCAGATGCTACATAAATCATCATGTAACGGGTTATGCTAGCTTAAAACTGTTTTGCTATAATTATTAGCATCATATTTTACTAACTTTTCATGTTTTTATTGACTTCATATCACGTCCATCTTTTATTGAACATGAGGTATTCTGCTTGACTTATTATTATAGCTCATGTTTTTATTCATCTGGTGTTTTTCTTGTCTCAGATGGTCGTCAGGAGCGTATTATGTTCGACAAAATCACATCACGCATCCAGAAACTTTGCTATGGGCTCAATGCTGAGTTTGTTGATCCTGTAAGTTATGAAATAGCCTAACGTTACATCAAAACCTACTTCTAAGGTCAACCATTGCCTATTTCAGTAGATGCCACTGACTCCATGACGAGATTTCCTTGTGCAAGGATTTTTTAAAATGTACTTTTATTATTATTTATTGCTTTGCTTTATTTACTTCTATATTTTAATTATTTTATTTGTTTGTTTTAATCTAATTAATCTATTTACTTTTGTAATTTTAATCCCTTTGGTACTTTTTATTTTTCTCTAAACGGACCCCCAGCATTTCCAGTTTGAAAACCCCTGGCATAATTAATATTACAGTTTATTATTCATCAAACAGTAGATCCAT